AACCAAAATTCAAATATCAGTAAAAATGAAGCACAAAAATATTGTGAAAATTTTCAAAATAATGTAGATTGCTGGAAATATTGTATTAGTAAATTTTTGACAACGGATAAATTAGAAGTAAAATTTTTTTGTATTCATGTAATTAATGAAAAATTGCAAAATGTAAAATTAGACGACTTGCTATTAATAAAAAACTCTTTGTTTACTTATTTAGAAAAAAAGTACATAACTGCAAATGAAGATTCTTGTGTAGTTAATAAAATTCTTCAATTATATCTATCATTAATAGAGCTATTATATCCAAATAATATGAATGATGCTTTTAAGTTTTTGATTAACTTAATTATGGTAAGTAGTGATATAAGTATAAAAACTGTTTATATAAATTTTTTCATGAAATTATTGAACATGTTAGATGTAGAATATATAGATAATGTGTATACTAAAAAAAGTATACAAACAATCACTAATTTAAAAGAAGCAATTAAAGAAAATGATTTGCCATTAATAATTGAATGTTTTTATTTTATTATGAATTTAAATATAGAAGAGCTCAGTGCCTTAAGTATTTTTACATTATCCAAATATGTATCTTGGATAGATATAAATTATGTAGCTAATGATAAAATATTGACTTTTATATATCAATGTTTAAATTCTTTAAATTCCGCTAGTGAAGCTAGTTATTGCTTTTTAACAGCTTTAATACGTAAAGGAATGAATCCACTTAATAAAATTCAATTTATAGAGAATATAAATATTATATGTGTTATTGAAAATTCTCCAAAAATTATTGATGTATCGTTTGAAATTAACAAAAACATTATGATAAAAAAAGGAGAATTGATTAATTATATATGCTTAGAATTAGTTGAATCTGTTTATGAAATCAACAAATTAAAAGATTATAATTTAAACATATTAAAATATAATGAAGCATGCAATAAAGCTACTAATTTTTTATTTTTAATTTTGCCACACGCGTTAGATATATTTGCCATTGATAATTTTTATGTTGCTAGTACAGTGGAAAAATTTTTTAGTTTATTCTTTACAAAGTTTAAGAGTATTGTAGATGTTACATCTATTAGTTCTATTGATTATGAGAAAGGAAACAATGAAAATATGAAAATGAACACATATAAAATACCTATAAGTAAATTAAATGTTTTTATTAACACATTGGTTTGCACAACTGTTAATAAATTTGAATATCCATCATATATTCAGGAAGATTATGATGAGGAAGATGAAGGATTTATTGCTTTTTTTAATTTTAGAGAAAATATTGAAAAATTATATCAGCGTTTAATATTATTTGATAAATTAAAAGCGATTGAAATTATTAAAAATGCTATCATCTATTTAAATGAAAATTTTGATAACTTAAAGTGGAATAACATTGAATCAAAATTATATGCTTTTTATATAACTACTTCTATTTATAGTGAGTACAAAGCAAGTAGTAATAATGCAAATAATAATAATAATAAGGATAACTTAGGAAATTCTATTGAAAATTTAAAACTAAACAAAGATGTTAATGAATCAATTGATTATAATAACTTACTTTTTGATTGTTTAATGGAATTATTAAAAAATAGAAAAATTTTAAATTGTAACAATAATCTAATTAATATAAATTTAATGGAAATATTTCAAAGGCTAAACTTGTTTTTTATTAAAAATCCAGATTATGTGGAATATTCTTTACATGTATTTATTACTAATGGTATTAGAAGTAATAAAAATAAAATAGTCAAAAAGTCATTACATATTTTTAAAAAATTTCTAAAGACAAATTCATCTGTTATATCTAACTATATCAAAGATATATTACATCTGTTAGAATCGTATCTAGATATTCCATGCATGTACCAAAAGTTTGAAAAAAATAATCTATTAGAAAATATGTCCTTAGATGAAAATACAATAAAAGATATTTACAGTTTCATTTATTATGGAAAAAATTATACATATGAAGATCAAATAGATATTTATGAAATTGTTGGATTACTTCTGTTACATTATGATTTTACAAAAGTAAAAAGAATGATGAAAAGTGATATACCACAGCAGAATAATAATTTCACTAATATTTTAAATAACAACAATAATAATAATATGAATAACACCTATAATACAAGTAATAACATAAATAATGAAAATGAAAAAATAAGTGAAGAATTAATTTCTAATTATAAAGATAGAATTCTTTTTTTTAAAGGAATATTAAATAAATTATTAGAAAATTTGTCATCCATTAAAAATTTATATTTAAGTTCACCAAAAACACAACATTCTAATATATGTTTAAGTTTTACTTGTAGTGTAATTATAAGATGCATTGGTGCATTATGTAAAAATGTAAATATAAATATGACTGATGTGTTATTAAATGATTTAGATAATACATTAGGTATTATAATAAGTGAATCATTAGAACTGTTTTATAATAATTATATTGTACGAGATTCTGTTCTTTTTACATATAGAATTCTTTCTAATCTATTTAAAGATTTATCACTTAATTATACTATTAAAATATTGCCATATTTTTATAACATATCTTATAATATGATAATGAACAAAATACAAAAAAATTCAAATACTCAAAATAATACTTCTGCTTCACTTAATATGATTATGAATACTCCTACATCTTATCAAATGGCAGGAATATCAACAGATGATATAACAAAAAATTCTAATGTTCATCAAGAGGAATTAAAATATTTATTTAATGAATTAAATGAATTAAGTATATTGGTATGCCATCTTATATCAACTCATAAAGAAAAATCAATTGATACATTTATTAATCCTTATATATATAATATTACTCAAATTCATATAAATGTGTGGAAATGTATTAATGTGCAATCTCACGAAATGCAGAGAGAACAGAATTCTGTATTATCCCCATTATTATTAATTTTATATAACATCTCTTTAAATATTCCTTCTGCTTTTCACAATTTAATATCTTTTGAAAACATCGCATCAAATCATAAACAATTTTGCGAAATATTCTCTAATGATGATATAGTAAAAAATAAGATATCAGATGCAATAACAAGTATTTTAGTTATTTCATTAAATTATAATAATACCAATGATTTCAATATTTGTTTATATTCTGCTCAAACGTTTTCCAATATGTTAAATAATGCTACGTTCGTGAACAATCCAAACGAGGTAAATGAGAAAAAAAATTTTTTTTTTTTTTTTTCATTTATTATTATTGCTACATAAATATGAAATTTTATAAATAATATTAATATAATTTTATATAAAATAAAAAAAAAAAAAAAAAAATAATTTTATTCTTTATTTTCTTCAGATTTTAAGTAAATATCCAATAGTGCAAATAATTGATACCTTATGTATAACATTGAAATCTCTTGATTATTCCGATCCAAAAAATAAAAGGGTTAGTGTATATATCGAAGTGTTCTTACATATATATTTATTTTCTTATATTAATATATTTATTTATTTTTCCTTTTCACAGATAATTCAAGAAGTTTTGAGTATTTTTAGATTATTTTGTGGATTTAAAGTAAATTCAAATTGTTTACCTGACAAAGTAATAGAAAATTCGCAAATATGTTTGCAGAATTCCCTTTTATCTGTTTTTAAAAATAATCCAAATGATATTGCAGCTTTACTTCAAGTAAGATATATATTATACTTTTATATTTTTTTTTTTTTTTTTTTTTTATTATATATACATATATATATATAT